TGAATAATTGAAAATAGATAAATAAATAATTAAAATTTTATATAAATGTAATGTGTAAAATTTATATATAAATAAATCTCTTATTTTTTAATGTAAATAATACATTTTTGAATTATTTAAAAATAAATTAACTTTAAACTATAAAATAATTGACCCAAAGATACAATATTGGTAAATAAAAATAAATAATAATAATAATAATAATAATAATAATAATAATAAACAGATACAACCGGAGAACAAAAGGCTAGATAAACAATTAACTAAAAAGAAAAAAATAAAATGGCGTCTTGAGAATCACCATATTCAATCAACTATAGATAAAACCAACCCTGAATTAGTCGCATGGACGTCCAATTATCTGGGTGATCAATTTGTTTGCACCTACCAAAAATGCAATTAATTAAAATCGGCTGACATCCCTAATTAATTATTATTTTTCATTAACTTTTTGGTATTTAAAAATATATTAAACTTTAATTAATTTATAATTAAATCATGTTAAACTCCATAAAAAAAAATTTTCTTTTAATAGTTATTTTTTTATTTATAAGATTTAAATTTAAAATTTTTTTAATATTTATTTTTTTATTCATAAAATTTAAATCCAAAATTTTATTTTAAAAAATTAAATTTATTTCAACCCAACCATCCTTACCAATTATAAAATCATGTAACTAACTGAGGCCCAATGATTATTTCCCAAGCTTTAGGGATTGGGTGAGGTGGAGATAAGGGTTTTGAGTTCTATCACCGCCATGAACTTCACCAATTTGTGACTTAATGGCTGCGCGCCTCATATGAGGAGGTGGAATGTTCACCATTCTGGGAAATCCCAACTGCTAACAAACTAATTCTACTAACTTCTTAACCATTACCATGTCAAAAAATATATATATATATAAAATCATGTACGGTACGTGTTCATTTTAATTACTTTCCGAAAAGACTTCTTCTCCTGCAAAAGTTAAAGAAGGATTACTCAGGCCTGATAATTTTTCTGAAAAGTGGTTTTATCCTTTTTAAAAGCTTGTTTCTTTTTTTTCTTGTTTCTTTTTTTTTTTTTTTAATAATCTTTTAGAAACTAAACTTCTAAATAAGTAATGTATCTTTAGAATAGGTTTTTTGTTGTTATAAATATTTATAAATTTTTATCATAATTTAGAAAATTTTTAGGATTGTTTATATGCCTAAAAAATTCAAAAAATTAAGATATTTTGACACTCAAAACACAATCATCTGTTAAGTGGATTCCGAAAATAAATTTCACTCATAGATGACTATGTCATATTTCTGTTATACCTATGACCAAAAAATAAGAGATGATTTATATGAACTCAAATTAATTCTCATTGATACAAAAAAATTTAATCAAACATAAAGTGTTTACTAGGTCCCTAAAAGAAAAACAAAAAGTATATAAATATGTGTAAAATTATTTAAATATTTTTAATAAATATTATTACATATTAATTTATTAAATATATTTAATTAATTTTATAAATATTCTTTTACTTTTTTTTCTTATAAGTTGACCAAACAACACTCTAGAAGAGTTAAGTTGACCAAAGACTTACATATACAAAATTATACATTTAACAAATGTATAGTATTGATTCCAAACTTAATATTATATACAATAGTCTCAATATGTGTGATGATATACAATTATGAATAATAGTATTCAGTCCCAATTTTCTGCCTAGTGATGAGACCTTCAACTTAGACTATTCTATATGTAGAAAACAAAACTGTACAATTGAGTAAGTGGTGTTTGCACATCCTTCTCAAATTACAAGGAAACCTTACAATAAGGCACAATTTCAACGTAATTATGATATTTTACAACTGCTCTAATCATGAAACATAGGTTAAATTGAACATGTTTCCTATTTACCTTCTTTTCAGCTAATCCCCCAATTATTAGGGGGTCAAATTTGAAATCCCTTAATTTCAAAGCTTTGAATAACCAAAAACAGCTCCAAATACCTTGACCTCCCTTGTCACCTTAATCTTGAACCTTGCTCCAGAACTTGCCCCTGCTCCCCTTTTGTAGAACGCCACCATATCCCCAACTTGAAGACCTTTAGCAATCACAAACCTTCTCCAACCTTTAGACAGAACAGGTTTCTTGTACCTTGTCGCCCGCCGAATACTGCAAACAAAGGACCAGAGTTGACCCCGGGCATCCTCTGCCTGAACATCTATTTCTCGACCTCCTCGGAATTGTGGCAGCGATTTCAGACACTTTGTTGGAACCGCCATTCTTTTTCCAATATCAGTCTTTGTTAGTGACTTTTTGAAAAGCCTTTTCATTTCTCCAAGTTGTTTTCTTTTCTCTCCGAGCCAATGCTTCTTAAAGAAGGGATCATTTATATAAAATTGACAATTATTATTATTTTACAGATGAGGGTTAGTTATAGACCGTTCCTCTCAACATTAAGTTCAAGTATTAATTTGATTAAATCTTTTTTCTAAAGTAATGTTTTTATGTATCCAGCTAATTGGGGTTGAAGTACTTGTTCTAATTCACAATAATTATCAATTTTTTTAAAATTAATAGTAAAATTTTTAAAATAATTTATAGTTTTAGTTATGTTATCTTAAAAAAAAGGAAATAGAGGATAAAAAAGTGATAAAAGATAAATAGAAACTTTTTTAATATGATGAATAACTAAAATAAAAACATCTTGATAGGAAAAAAAATAATGTCTATCTTAAAAAAATAAATAAAATCAAACTTAAGGAAAAAACAATAATTAGAAGTGAGAAGGTCAAGTGGTACTCTTGCTAGTAAAAATGAAAATGACTGCTGGTATTATAAATAAGTTTTCAAACTGTGGGCGGGTTGGCTTCGAAAGAAGTTTTGGTTTATAAGTCCAAATCTTGGATAGGATTAAGAAATTGGGACCAGGGAAAGCACACATCATCATCAAAAAAAAAAAAAAATTAATAATAAATAATAAATATGGGTTTCGGGTTATTAAAAGTGGGGACACGAGGATCTCCAACAAATTTGCTAGTGGATTTTTTTTTATGAGAGGGCTAATGTGTACCAATACCAACTCTATAAATTTAAGGAGGGAATTTGCATTCTCTGAAAGATATATTGTACGAATGTGTGAATATGCTAAAAGGGACAAGTATATATATTAATTTGACAATGTCATCCCTCCTTTAATAATGGACTTAAGTTTTGTTTGCTTATAACTGGCCATGTTATAATTGTTTTTGTAGATGAGATAGGGATAGAGCGCATCATGATGAGTAATCTTTTGCAAACATTTTATATCATAGTTATATAATAAATAATAATTTAATTGTGTTTTTCTTGTATTTATAAATTAATTTAAAATTTAAACTTAAAATGAAATTAATAAAAAGAAGAAACTCTTATGTAAGAAAGTATGTACAAAATATTTTTTTTTTTATCATTCTTGATGATGATCTTGTGCTTAACAAGTTCTCTTCTCTAAAAGAGAGAGAGAGAGAGAGAGAGAGAGAGAGCATAAATTATACTAATTTATAACCCATACATATTAGAATATATGTAATAAAAGAGTTTTTTTTTTTAAAATAAAACAAAATTTATTAATAGGAATACAAAAGATATTTCAATTCTTTCATAGATTAGAGAGATGCAACAAGCAAAACTATTGAATTGAGCTAAGAACATAAAAAACAGATGTCAAGGCTCACTTGTAGCAGAAGCTGCAATGTGTAGTGCACTCAAAATCCATAGTACAAGTCCTTGAGAAACCTCTGACCCACTGCTCTGTAAAATTTCCTCATTCCCCTAAATTTCCCAATGTTCAAAAAAAAAAAATGAAGAAGAAGAAGAAAAAGAAACAGAGGTCACAGCAAACAGGGCAAAGAGGAAAAACATGACTTGATGGAATACAGAGCAGAAACACAAACAAATATATCCTTCTTCTTCACCTTAATATATTTAGTGTCATTACTGACGGACTATAATAATGCCTGGTGGTACACCCACCATTTATAGGTACATTATAGGAATAGAGCAAAGGCATCCCATAAAAGGAAAACCAGTTAATCCCTCTCTCTGCTGCCTCAAATTAACGCCACATCATACTAATTAATTAATTAATACTTAAAGTGCAGCATATAGTACACATATTCTTACCTAACTAGCTAATTACCACTACGATAGTAGCCTACTTGCTCGACGTCCACCCAGATTTCCTTACCCATGAGGCTAGTGATGCGTCTCTTTACTTCAATTTTAAACTCTGCTTCACTTGCTTCATCTCTCTGCTTATGGAAAACAACTTGATCATTAATTTGGAGACCTTTAATTCGTACAAATTCAAGCCATCCTGCCGAGAAAACTGGCTTAGGGTGATTGCCTGTCTGCCTACTGGAGCAACGGAATGTCCATGTTTTCCCAGTTGAGTCCTTCACCAACAAATCCACATAATGGCTGTCTCTAGGAAGCTCGAAATGGTCTCGGAATGTGCCTGTAGGAACTGCCAATCTTCTCTCCACATCGGTCTGTGTCAGAAACTTCTCGAAGAGCTGCATAGTTGATTAGTTATAAGTGTTTTGAGCAATGTTCTATTCGGCTGCAAGTATTTGTCAAACCTAGATGAGGCAAAGTATTTATAGAACTATTACCACATTTAGGGGGGGTTGTTGGTGTGTCCAAGTGAATGTTTGTTTCATTAATTCTGTTTTTGGGATGAAAATTAAAGTCCATCATTATTGAAGGTAAGGTACTTTTGGAAGATTCGATTTCATGTTCTAGATAAAATCTTCGCCGAAAGGGAGAGGACTAGCAAGCAGCAATTTCTATTTTCTGATTTCAATTTTAATGAATATCTTAAAAAGTGTATGGCGACTACGAATTCAATCAACTACACCATAATTAATTTAGTCGTGCTTGAACGTTCGACAATCTGGATGGACTTGCTTGTCAGCTGTAGGTATCGCGAGTCCTGATGTGATTTTTTAAACAATCTAATCTGCGAGTGGGGCCAAATCTAAGAAAAAACGGTGCCAGGGGCTAGACATTAAAGTGCACATGTTCACTCTTTCAATCCAAGTTCCCAATTCTGCAAAATAAGCATACAAAGTCCAAGATGCCGGCGTCCCTTTTCTTTCTTCTTTTTCATTTACCAATTGAATACTACTATAATTATATTTATTGTGACGTAGCTATGTACCATTTGATTGGGATTTGATCACATGTAAATTTTATTTATTCTTCTGATGATCATCTGAGGAAGGTAAGAATACTTTTTATACTTTATTAATAAAATTGTTTTTGCGGTTAAAAAAGAAGTGCAAATGTTGTTGCTTGCATATTAGTAGTTAATTTCTACTAATATATTCATTAGATTGTGTTTAAAACTTTCTTTTAAAATGGGGTCAATAAGTTAGAAAAAAAAAATTATTACCTTGAATATAATATAAACTATTTCATTCACATAGTATTCTAGTTTACTTTTTTATTGTTCTATCTTGTTTTTTTCTTTGATTTTAGTTGCATAGTGGGAGGCAATTATTTCTATCCCTTATTTCACTCCACCCGCATGTTATGCGAGTTGAATTCAAGATCTCTTATTTTTAGTGAAAAGAGATGACCACTGAGTTATTTAAGTCGTTGGTTCTTATTATTGTATCTTAATCTATGTTCGTTTTTCTGTTGATGGTTCACTTATCTTGTTATTATGTCTCAAAATCAAATTTTTGGCAATTGATTCTTTAAGATAATTAAGCATAGGGTAATGATATAATCATATAAAGACAATATTT